GTACCCTACCTCGGAAAAGCAAAAAACTTTAAATTCGAACGTTTGCTCAGGTGTACCTAATTCTGGCAGTTTGGAAACGCGCAACACTTTTAATATTTTCATCCAACTTCACTAACTTCCAATCTTTTTTCTACTTTTTTAAGAAACAAAAATTTTTCTGCTAGTGAATCTGGTGGCATGATTTTAGTTAAATGTCATAAACTTGTTAAAAGTGAAGTGGTCGGCAACAACAACGAATGTCAATAAATTAAACTACCTTCTGCTTTCACAGCTTTACCTGTTCATTTCTCAAACTATTGCCCTCCGACTAAGCAAAAGTGCCATACCTTCAGCTAATATAGCCATTTTGTGGGACAAAAAGCAACCTACTGAAAATGATCCAATATGTATAAGAAGGCAAATTTGTTTAATAGAAAAGAAAACGCCATAAAATTGTAATTTATCTCTGTTTTTATATTTAAGTAATACAAACATGACTTCTGATGTAAAGCTTAGCTACGTATAACGACAGTTTCCTTTGTTAAACAAAAATAAAGTGGTGTACAGCTTAACTACGTATAAATAATCTTTATTAACCAAAAAAAAAATAAAAGGATTTACTAGTCTTTCTAATTGTAGTTTATTTATTTAGAAAAAATTTAATTCTGGTTGAAACATTTTAGCCGTTTTTAGCCGTTTTTTTGTCCAATCTAGCCGGTCGCCCTGAAAAGTTCTGGCAACACTGATGCCAACTATCCGTGGCCACCATGAACCAAAAATACAAGATCACGTAAGAACGCGACGTTGTATTTGTAACAGGTTTTGAGAAAAAAGTTTGCGAAAGCGGGTTCGTCAGCTGAGCATTTGTTTACATCACAAGCACCACTATTTTACACTTTTATTTAAGTAAAGAAGAGTTAATTCAACATGACAACACATTTTCAAGCATTTTATTGCATCATTTTACCTAAATTGTGCGCTTAAAGTGGCTGACAATAATTTTGGCTAACTTTGGTTTTCGTTGTTTTCTTTGCTTTTACTTTTCGCTTGTTTTCCAGTGAAACAAGATGGCGTAGAACCCG